GCAGAGCTGAGTGCTGGGGCTGGTACTGAACTTTGAACCTGGAAGTAGATCAGTAAGCCTGGTTGGCTTAGGTGTCAGGAGAAATCACTGCGGGTACACTTCTCCAGGGAGATGATGGACCCCACATTGTTTCTCTAGGTCTTCCCAAGACAGAGAGATCAAGGGCCATCCGATCTGTTGTCACTCAGGTGGGCTGTGTTTCTGGAGCTTCCCAGGCTGCCTGTCTCCTCCACACCCACTGGGGGTTGGGAGCCAGACAGGGATGCCTCCAGAACACTGGGCTCGGAGGCTGTGTATGTCCACAGATGCAGCTAAAGTGAGGTCCACTCCCAGGCTGGACTCTCACCGTGGCCTTGTGCCTCCTGGTGGTTTGGGGTAGGTTGGGTCCTCTCCCTGAGTCACAGACTCCTGGGCAGCTGCCCGGGGGCAGTGGCCACACAGCAGAGTCTCTGGGAGAAGAAGTGAGCTTCGGTAAGCTAACATCCCTGGTTGTTCCTCTTTCTCCCTTTCCTTGTTCCTGTTTAGTGGCTTCTGTGTGGTATAGGGGCTGGGTGCAGGGAGAGCTCATGAGACCCCAGAGCAGTTCATTTTCAAGGATGTATATGTGGCAATGACAGCCCTGCCCTAGGAGGGAGCAAGCTCCCCAGCACTGCAGGAGTGTGACAACACAATGTCAAGCCTTCAGGATGCTGTGGGGACACAGGGTGGGGAGTAGGGGTGAGATTCCTGTCCAGTAGAAGGAATATCCCCCGACCCCTGCCTACCCCACCCCCTTTGCAAGTCAAGCTGACCTGGCACTAAGCCTCTCGAGCCCCCATTCCTGCCTCCCCTGCCAGCTCCCAGGTCTTCCCTGGTCCCATTCTTTCCCTTCACAGAGTGGGGATCTTTGAACCCACACCTCAGATCTCGCCCTGCCTCAGAACCGGCCCTGCCAGCAGGTCCTCATCCTATTTACTGTGCTCCTGGCCTTGCACAGCTGTCACTGCCTGTGCATGTTCAACTGTGCCCCTCTACCCAGGACACCTATGCCAGGGCTTGTGCATGAGATCTTCCTGGACCCCAGCCTACCATGACTCCACCCCTTCCCTAGCTCTGTTGTCCCTCGTGACCATAATCACCTCGGACTGTGTCACAGGCATGTTCCATGGGTCATCATTTGCCCCCCACATTGATCTCCTGTTGGGAGCCACCACATTGCCGAGCCGCCGCATATAGCGATCATGCGGCCTGTGGTAAAGAGTAAAGCCTGAGTTAGATTACCCCTCCCATCGAGCACGTTAGTTTCCTGCTTACCGCGTAAACAACCCGCTCAATAATATGTTAGCCAATCAGCTTGCCTTGCTTACTTTAATATGATTGGACACTGTATCCGTATATATACTGGTGCCACCCCTGGGGGGAAGTAGAAGCCCGGAAGGAGCCGCGGGGAGCGGACCAGAGGAGGCTTCGGCTGGGAGCGATCCCAGGGCAGGCTGTACGGAGAGAAAATAAAAGAAAAGGTTGTCCATTGCCAGACTTTGTCGTGTGTCCTTCCTGCCGGCTGGGAGCGACATCGACAATCTCCCACTCTCACCATGCCCTCAGTGCCTAGATGAATGCCCCCTCTACAGCCAGGCCTTTGGCATCTGGGGCTGGTGTCTCAGAACTGCAGAGTGTGACCTCCTCCCTGAAAAATATCCTGCACTGGTCCACTACCTCTTCCTGATTGCTCTGTCAGTCACTCAACAAATATTTATCATCATGTGCCAGGAAAAATGCAAATACCGGGCATCTACAAACTAGAGGAGCATAAGGCTGACAGCTTAAATGAAGAGAGTGAGGCCCAAAGTGGAGAAATCAAGATGATGACAGCAGTGGCTGGGAGGAAAGACGGAGCCGCACAGGGACTGGTGTGAGGCCGTGTGAGGAGACAGGCAGGGAGGATTCCCAGGAGAGGCACTGTCGGAGGACAGGTTAGTGGGTGACTAGGGGGTAGAGAGGCCCAGTGCTAGGCAGCACAGTGTCTGGCAGGCCCGGAGTGAGTGTATTTTTAGTTTTTGGTAAAAACCAAAACCAAAACCAAAAACCAAAGCCCAAATCTATAGAAAATATCCATATTCCTACAATGTCCAGCTTCCTGAGATCTTCACCGCACCTTCAGCTCCTCACACCACCCTCCAGGGGCTCCTGGCCTGGTCTCAGAGGCCTCCTTTTGAAATCTGGGTGGAAGCTTCATGTTCCCACAACTCTTGAATTCTGCCTCCTGAAAAATCAGCACATGAGTGATGCCATGGTCCACCGCTGGTGAGAACAGCAACCTGGCCTCCTTGGACCATGGCTGTAGTGACTTTTGAGTACCCACGTGGCTAAACTAAGGGAAACATTTGCCCAGGTGGGCTGAGCAGAAGTCCCATGGACTTTCAGAGCAAAATCTTTTAAGGGAGTTTACTTTTCTACACATCTGAGCTTGCCCAATGGATAGGGTGTGGCTATTTCCTGAGATGCCCTCAGGGCATTGCTCCTAACATCCTGATACAAATTACTTGGCTTCTTTTTAATGGTAATCTTTTCACCAACCACACTCCCCTAGACCCCAAATTTGCAGGGACTGTACTTCCTTTCTGGTGTAACTGCAAACTTTTTGCATCTTTTGCCTTTACTTTTTGCCGTTGATCCTCACTATAAACCTTAGTAAAAGCAACCAGCAGTGCCGATGCCACAGTGTGAATTTTGAGCTGTCTTGAACTTTCCTCCTCAAGATAATTGTCCACTATCTTTAATCTCCTTCTCCTGTAAAGTCTCAAGACATGGACAAAGTGTAGACAAATTTCCTGCAGGAGTGCAACACAGATGGCCTCTAGGCCAACTGTCAACGGAGTCCTTGTTCCCAACGGAAGCCTCTGAAGGTCTTTTCTGTACATCTTCCCACCACCGTTCTGATCTTACGAGCTCTGACCAGAATCATCCATCTCTGCTCACATCATTCTGGGGCTTCTGTAGCATCTTCAAACCTTTACAAACTCTTCCCACAAACCAGTTACAAAGGCCACTGAGCCAGCTGGTTGGGTATTGTCACGTAACAACACAATGTCCCCCGTGCCAGTGTTCTGTATTAGCCACTATGCCATCACTGAGACATCATACCTGACATTCACAGTTTAAAGAAGTTCATTTGTCTGATGGTGTTAGATCCTGGTTCAGTCCCTGGTTGACTTGCTCCAAGGCACAAACAGCATGGTACAAGGTCATGGTAGATGAAAGCTGCTCTGTCCTGGTGGCCGGGAAGCAGAGAAAAAAGGGAAAATCTGGGGACAGTAACACAGCCCTCCAGGTCACCCACCCAGTGACCCTCCTCAAACCAGGCTCCACCTTTTAATAATACAGTCCCCATGAACTCATCAATGGATCTAATAACATTCCAAAAGTCCCACTTCTAAACACATGAGACTTTTGGGGAACATTTTAGATCTAAACCATTTCAATCTCTAAGCTGGACACTGCTCCTGCCTGAGCCTCACTGGTCTCATCTGTAAATGGAGTGAGCTGTGCCTTCTCAGCTGATAGCACCAGCGAAGGACCAATGGCTTTACACACTGTAAAGTACTATAAGCAGAGTCAGCCTCCTCCCCTTTGAGACTGAGATAGAGATGGCCGCTGAAAAGGGGGGCTACCGTGTGGGGATCTAGGGTTCCAGTCCACTGGAGACCTTCTCCAAAGCCAAGTAAAACATACATCTCTCAGCAGCATCTCTCAACAGCAAGAGGCTGACACACTGATCCTGGGTCCTCAACTCCCTGTCTGTCAAAGGCGTCCTACAGACCAGGCTGCGTCTGTGCTGGCTGATACCTTCAGGACCAGGCATAAGTGGAGTGGCAATGCCAGGGCTCCAAGGTGGCAGCAGTCATGCACCTAGGACTGTCCACACACAGTCAGAGTGTGTGACGTTGCACCATCAGCACCTGCTTCAAAGGCACCCCCTCCCTTCCCAGGCTTCTCTCTCACACCCCAAGCAGCCCCAGTCTCTTCCCAGCATTCTGGATTTCAGTGAAGGGGAGGGCCCACCAGGAGACATCACCCTAGGGAAGGAAGACTTCCAACCTGGATGTAGCAGGGAACACTGTCCCAGAGTGGAGAGGCTATGAGCATCCCTCCCCATGACCATGTGATTAATTTCCCATCTCATCGCTGCCAGATTCCTAATCCCCAGCCCCTGAGCATGTGACAGTGTTTGGAAAGAACGAAGGTAAAATGGAGTCACTAGGATAAGCCTTCATCTAAAACGACACCCCTCATCATAAAAGATTAGAACACAGACAGAGAGGTCCTGGACACCAACGCACGTGCATCCAGGAAAGGCCAGTTGAATATGCGGTGAGCAAACATCATTGGCAAACTTGGCTATAACTTGACCTTGGACTTCTAGACTCTGGAACTCTGAAAGAACTCACGTCCATTGTTTAAACTGCACGTGCTATGGTGACTCTGGGACACTAACCTGCCCTCCTGCCTCAGTGGTGGATAGCTGGTAGGTGAATGACGGTGGTCTGGCCATCTACCTCTGTGCCGCCAGACATCATTGCTGTGTCTCGCTCTTTAGTCCTTTCTGCACAAAGACATCTGATATGATCCTCCAAACCCATTCAAATAGAACCCTCATTTTATGTAATATCTTCTTCTGAATCCTGTCACCTCTACTGCAAAAATAAACATCAGTACAGTTGTCATGCTTCTGCTTCCAGATGCTTCTAGATGAGGCCAGGAAGAATGGTTACTAGTCCTCAAATGCAAGGGCCATTTTCAGCTCACAGGTGGCCTCTAACTATACTCTGTGCCACAGTAACCCCTTGTCCATCATTTAAGTAAGCTTCTCCATGCCCTGCCTCAGGGTGTCCATGTCACCTGTTCCCTCTCTCTGGAATTCTCTTGCTACAGCTCTTCTCATCACTACCATTTGCTTACCCTTTAGGTCTCAGATGAAATGTCACCTGCAGGGACCTTTTGCATCTGTCAGTCATTGCTGCATAACAAAACATCTCAGAATGGAGCAGCTGAGAACAGCAAACATTTATTTAGCTCTGGAGTCTGGGCAGATCAGGTGACAGCTCTTCTTCAAGGAGAGCTGGAAGTCCTTCCAGGTCTGGCTGACACCAGTGGGCTTTGCCTGGGGTGGCATGTCCCTGCCCCATGTGCTTCTCTTTCTCCAGCAGGTAAGCCTGGGTTCCAAGAAATCAAACAAAAATAGATAAGACCTGAGACCAGTGATTGGAGTTAGACCTGTCCTATATATCCCAGGTTCTATTGGCCAAAACAAGAGACAGAGCCCAGTTCAGACTCAAAAGCAGCAAAGTAATACCACCTACATACAAAGTGTGATTGAAAAGTAAGGTGAACATATACATTTTAAAATCACAGTGAAAGACACACTGCCACTGATCTCCCCCAAAATATTCCCTTTTGCACCCAACACATTTATCCCTTCATTCTTAACCACTGTGAAGCAGTTCTGGAGGTCTTCTTTCACGGGTGTCTTTAGGCTGTCATGCAGGCTCACTGTCCTCAACTGATTAAAACATTTCTCTTTCAAGGTCATTTTGGCTTTGGGGAAGAGCCAGAAGTCATACAGTACCAGATGCAGTGAACAAGGTGGGTGAAGACACATGGGAACGTTTTTATGAGTCCGCCTTTCATTGGATGGTACTCAGCAGCAATATGTACCACATTTTTTATCGCACCTGGTAAAGACACTCATAAAAGGGGACTTTCATAAATGCTGTGGAAAATGAAATGAACAATGTGATAAATGTTCAAAGCAAAGGAAATACAGTATTTTGAAGGTGATGATGGCCAAGTGTCTTTTGCCACAACAGTTTTTAAAATGTGAACATTCACCATGTGTTTTGATGGCACCTTGTACAGTAAGCCCCCAACAGAGGAACATTCAAGTTGCAAACTTTCACGGCGATGAACCGACCTCACATTACGAACACCTGGAGATGCTAACAAATCCCGGAAGTAGCTCAAGTAGCTGCCGGGCATTGTCGCCGTTGAGCCGCGGTGTGCTCACTGTACAGTGTGATCCTGTAGAGAAGTGCAGTGCTCAGAACCCAGGATGCCAGAAACAAGAGGAAAAGCAGTGGTGGGGTGGAGCGGACGGTAGGAAGGGCAAAGCAGTGTGCACTGTTTGTGTCAGAGGTGCACAAGACTCACTGCATCAGACTGCTGAAAGGATTCGACTTCTTTTAATTTTAAAGAGAAAAAAAAATAGAAAAGAAAAAAACAGGAAACAAATAAATAACCCCTCAAACAATAACAATATAGGCTTTCAAAACAGGAGTTCAACTTTACAAACATACTCCCAGGATGGAGCTCATTCAGGAACTTACTGGATTGATGGGGTCACAGGGGGCAGTGACTCCAGACCAGAGGGGAAGGCAGCAAACTTTTCAGCAGTGCTGGAGACTGAATGCAGGGCTTTCCCATTGAACTATATCCCCAGCCTTTTTATTTTTTACTTTGAGACAAGGTCTCACTAATTTACCCAGACTGTGCTTGAATTTGCCATCCTCTTGCCTCAGCCTCCCAGGGCATTGGGATCATAGGTGCGTGTCACCGTGCCCAACTCACTGGGATGCTTTTTCGATCAACATACCCGTGTCCCAGACCACGGGTCGAAGTTATAGCCTAAAGAGTGTCACTTCGCTTACTGGGCTTCCTTTACTGCCCGTACTCCAGTGTGCGAGTATCTTGTTTGTTTCTTCATTAACTTGTTCCTGTCTGAGAACCTCCTCAGTCCCTGAGACCTCTAGGGACCAGCACACAGGCCCAGAGCCTGGCACAAATGAAAGGTTAGAATGGGCTCCTTCCCACCCTACGATGGACCAGACACCCCAGACTCACGCACTCTCAGGGCAGAGGAAAGGCACAGCTGCTGCATCAGCCCCCGGGTCTCCTCTAGAAAGCAGGGTGCGGGAGTTTAGCCCAGCCGGCACCTCCCTGCCCAGCCCAGGATGGAGCAAACCTCCATTCCCCAGCCCACTCAGAAGGGCTGTTTCTTGCCTCCTAATTCTATCTCAATGCAAATGGCCCTGGCAGAGGGACTAGAGTAAAACCTGCATAGTCAGCGATCACAGTGGCGGGGAGGAGGAGTGGGGCCGTGCGGAGTCCCACCAAAACACCAGCGGCTATGGATCATCGCTCTGTCCAAGGGCAGGCACAAGGCAGGCCAGGGACCTTGGATCTTTGCTCATTGTGCTGATGTTGATACCCAGGGTTCCATGTGTAGAGTTCTAGAGCCTTTGACAGGGACTTCCTGCCAGATGAGACTGATTTGGAGAGGACAGGGCAAGATAGGGCAGGACGTTGAACCCCAGGGGGACACACTGTTAGGTGGAGCTCATGTACCAGCTCATTTGTTTGCTCATTCATGTATTCACACTGCATGTCCAGGGCACCCTAAAAACCCATCCATGTTCTAAGCAAGCCCATTCCTTAAAATGTATGCCAAAGGATCAAAGAAATGGTATATGTTTAAACACTTATTTTTAAAAAACTAATTACTTTGAAGGTAGTAAAACACAACAGAACAAGACAGAACAAAGCCAATTGAGACAATGCAGTGAAACTGGTCCAGAACTTCAGAGCAGGATACCTGGATGACAGTAATAGGTACTGTAGTATATCTCGTTATCTTCACAATAGTTGTCCTTTCAATCAGGTATAGCAAAATCAAAACAAATACAGAACATTATAGAACTTTTCAATACAATATCGAATAGAGCAATATAATTAATCAAAACAAAGCAAAACAGTGATAACAATATTTGCCTTCAAAGAGATGGTAGAAGGAAATCCCCCATATTTGCTATTTTGCATAGGGTCATCCTCCCAAGAGATGCTCAGACCTCTGGCTCCCATTTGCTAATGGAGGGGTGGTGGTGGGGGAGGATGGGATGGCTGATTCTCAGCCCGAGCAGAACATCGATAGGCTCACGCTGCTTACCTGGGAGGAGGCCAACGGGTTTTTTCCAGTGCACTAAGTTCCAACATGGTGCAAATCTCGGGAGATGCTGGCTGTGTTCTCCCTCTGGGGCACCTGCTGAAAAACTTATTACAGTAAAAAACACATTCCCATTATGCTCCTCAAAATACCCTCTCTTCTAACACATAGATGCTGTTGTTCTTGACACTTTCTGAAGCAGCTCTGGAAGTTGGAAATTCTCTCTTATGAGCATCTTAGTCATGCTCTTGGAGGTGCTACAATACCCCAAATCCATTCAAAACACTTACTTTTCATTGTCATTTTGACTTTTTGGCAGAGTCAGAAGCCACACGGTACAAGCCCTAGTAAATCTGGTGAATGAACACACACCAGTGTGTCTGTGAGCTGCTTTTCCATTGGATGGCACTGGTAATAGCATTTATAGTGTTTTCTTTTAATAACACCTGGTGTCTCTTATTTTTCCTCTGGCTGTTGAGACAAAATGCCCCATACCCAAAGTTAAAAGGGGAACATTTTGCTCACAGTGTGTAGAGGCTTCAGTTCATAATCAGTTGGCTCCAAGGCAGGATGGTATGGTAAAGAGGCAGCTTCATGGCGGCAGAAGACAGCAAAAGCAATACAAGCAAAAAGGGGGGACCAAACCTCCTTCCCTCCTTTATACTGTCTGTATGTAGGCTACCAGTCCTGGATGTAGCACTGTCACCCCCAGTCCCAGCACCAGGCAAGGAACCAATCACAAACTCTAGATACAGCTGCCCCCAAAAAGCAGCACCCTCTGACCACTTGAGGCTTTGGGGGGACGTCCAGACACAAATCATAACACCCGGTAAAGATACTTATGAAAAAAGACTTCAGAACTGCTTCAGAAAGAGCAGTTCTGAAAGCGTGCTTTGTTCTCTGCTTCCTGGCTGCCACGGGGTTAGCAGGTTTCCCCTGCCACATCTTTACATCGTACTATGGATGCCTTAGCGCCAGCTGACCATGCGCTGAACTCTCTAAGACCACGAGTCATTAAACCTCTCGCCTCTTGTTGCGGTGTGTGGTACTGCATCCCGGTGATGGTCAAGCAACTGAGATTGGGACGCATGCAGAAAAGGCCAGGGCCGTAGTCACCACCGCTCAGCAAGGTGTTCTCTCCTGGAGGAGGCCAGGTGACTGTCCGAGGCTTTAGGCAGACCAAGTGGTGTCTGATTACAGGTTCTGTGACCATGGGGAAATTACGTAGCCTCTCTGTGCTTCGTTGCTAACATGGGACTGCTACAGTGAGGGCTGAACTGCACGGAGTTCTGTGCAGCACCGCACGGCAGCCTCCGTGCTGGCCTCCCCTTGCTTCCCCGGCTCGTTTTTTCAGAGGAACCTTTCCAACTGGCACCCTGGCTGTCCTTGTATAGCACCCAGGGTGCGCAGGACAGGCGTAGGTCCTGCGACAGACCAGCACTCAGCGGACAGAGCCGAAGCCCCTCTACCTCCGCCCCACCAGCCCTGGTCACTCTGGGCACTCTGGGGGCCTTTCCAGGTCTTCCTGGGCCCCAAGGCTGTGCTGCCTCTTCACCTGGGGCTCTTGGTGGCCTTCCTTTCTGCAGCAGGCTAGCTCTTGGTTATTTCCACACTCGATCTACTACATGTACACAGATGCACCTGAACCCACGAGGTGCAGGGACCTGTGTTCCACGCAGAAACACTCCCTTCCACTCATATCCTACAGCCTCCTAGAGGTCCCTACCCTCTGCCACAGGCAAACTATGAGTTTCATTCATCTGATGCCTTTCAAGATCAATTTATATAAATATAAACAAGCACTTTAAAAAACAACACAGCTATTGCCTTTTACACGAATCATGTCATAACCACTCTGCCTCCTTCTACTTTTCAGAGTCTGGAGACCTATGCTAGTAAATAAAGTGCATCTTATTCCTTGTGTACAGCTGTATAGTATTCTATGTGTGGGTATAGATCATTTATCCAGTCTTCTACTGGTGAGCACCTAGGTTGTTTCTAGTAACTGCCTCTATTTAAAATGCCTCAGATGTGGTTGGAGTTATAGCTCAGTGACGTAAGTGCCTGCCTGTCAAGGTCGAGGTCATGAGTTTGATCCTTGGTACCAAAAAATAAAAAGCCTCATTCAGTGACAATATATCCCATTTGTGAATAGCATAAATTCCTTCACTTGAAATTGCCCGTTTGTTATATATGTAGACTAGTATCTATTTGTCTTCATAGATGATACCAGGGAACCATCTTCCCTGCAGAGTGGAGGATGGCTTGGCTGACCCTTTGGCACACTGGGAGTGTGAGCTACCATCACCTCCCCCAGGAAGTCTTCCCAGACTTCCAAACCAGCGCAGGGGTCCTTGTCTGGGCCCCCAGCCAGCACCAAATCTGGGGCACTTGGATTGTGATTGGTCTAGTTTGTTCCCTGTCCCTGTCGTTGATCTGGGAGCTCCCTGAGACTTGAAAGCTAACACCAGACCTTGCTTCCTCCAGTCTGCAGCCTGCCCAGCCCCTGCACAGCTCTGGGGCTCTGTAAACACAGTTCTCTTCCAGTACAGCCCCAGAATAGGGTTCCCAGGGTGGCAGTCCTTGCTTGCCCTTTGTCTCCTGCCTGAGGGAGAGGGCCTCGGCCTCTGCTGTCACCTGCAGGCCACCTCATGGGAGGCTCCGGGACCAAGCCCTCTCTTGCAGCTCCTGCAGTCTCCACCTGCTCCCTTGAACAAATAATAATTGTTAGAAAAAGGCCTGTGGATAAATTATTATCGTGACCCTCATTCCTGCGCGAAAACTTTTGGTAGCTGCCAAGAGAAAAGTCAAAATTTGCATTTAAATAGAAAATGTTAGGCAGGCTGAACAGGGGCCAGGGCCCCCAGAGGCCTCTGGGGTGGAGGTTGTGGTCCCCACCTCTTCTGGGGAATGAGGCAGCTGGGGTACCTTCAGAGCTGGGGTGAACTTGTCCTCTCTGAGGTGCGTGGCCTCTCAGGTCCTAGAAGTCCCACCCCTGCTGCCCTTTCCCGGAGCCCCACAGTGCAGCTGGAGGGACCTCGTGGGCACCCCTGTTCACCACGTTGACCCCGCAGTGAGCAAAGGACCACAGATACTTTGCAGGCAGAGTCCTCAGAGCTCCGCTTTGTAGCTATGCAGACCGACAGCTTGGGGCCCAGCTACCTGTTAGACCCTGTAGCCTCTCTGGGCCTCCTTGTCCGTTAAATGTCAGGTAACCACCTTCTTGGCAGGGTGCCACTGCCTTACGCAGATAATTGATGATAGTTAGGCATATAGTTTTTCCTGTTAGTGCAACTCATGATGCTGGTGTCGCGTGACAACATCTCCAGCAAATGTGTAGACACCCCCGTGACAGGTGCTCCCCTCCGTGCAGCCAGGTCTTCTGCAGGGACTGCAGGAAGTGACCCTTGCTTTCTGCACGGCTGAGGCCCGGCCAGCTCCTGTGGGAGGACTGTGTAATAGCCCTGCCCACAATGGCTTTCTTCTCAGCGTGGTCTCGTTCCTGTAGGCAGACCTTGTGCAGCCTAGTCACGCTCTCCAACTCCTGATTCTGGGAACCTTAGACTTTCCTAAACCCGAGAAGCCACCAAGCACCCGGGGGTTTCTCTCCCCTGGGCGGTTATGGACCTGCTGGCAACCATAAGGAGTGCAGTGTGAGGCCAGCGTTCCCAGTGACTCAGTGCTTCAGCTCCTTCCTGTCCAGGTCACCTTGGACACTGGGGCGCTGGGTCTCAGCTTCCCACCTTACAGGGCAGACTGCAGGGACCTCAGCGTATCCAGAGTCCCAGGTTCGGTTGGGTCCATCAGGTTACTTGTCACCTTGCTCCTGGGTCTGTACTGAGCCACTTCATCACAGTGGGGACCAGGTAGGCAGCAGAGCTACTCAGTCCACCAGTGGGTTAGCCCTGATGAGAACAAAGCCCCCCTGTTCCAGCCACCTCCCAAAGGCCTGGCCTCTGAACATTGCTAACCTGGGGACCAAGCCTTCAATATGCAGGTGTGGAGTGACATTTCAGATCCAGACCATAGCAGCCCAGCACATAGCAGGTGCTCAGAGTAACAGCTGGTCGGAGGTTGTCACAGAGGAACCAGGAGCCTAGAGGTCTGGACAGCGTGATCAGAACAGGCATTTGTCTCCACTTCGAACCTTCCTCCTCATGGGCATATACTGGCTGTCAGCCTGTTCTGTGCTTGCTCTGCTGGGGGATCAGGAGGTGAGGCAGGGAGAGTGTTAGGGGGGTTCTGCACCTCAGTGTTTATGTTCTGAAAACGGGCCAGCCCTGGATGGATGCCCTTCACCTGGCCAAGGTGACAGGGTTCTGCTGGGCCCTTGTCCATGCTGTGTGTGTGTGGGAGTGGGGGAGGGCTGGGGAAGCCTGGTGTCTTTCTGGAGGAGGGGCCTTCTGTGATGGCCAGGACAGACTCAGGGACAGTCAAAGGTGGCCCCTGTGCAGTGACATGGAGTCTGGAGAGGACAGAAGTAGGGATTGGGGGTCCCACATGCTACATATAGCACAGGTCCCTTGTGGTCCACATAGGTGCACAGAAAGCTGCCTCGCAGTGAGTGTCCACCAGACTGCTTCTCGTCCCTCTGCTGGCCTTTCTGCTGCCCTCCTTACCTCAGAGCATCCGGGAAGAAGCATCAGCCCCAAGCCTTCCAAGCAGCAGGCCCAAGCTGGTCATTCTTTACAGAGAGTGGGCCTAGGAAACAGATCAGCTTTGGAGCTCAGCCCTGAACCGTGGATATAAACTCCTGCCTTGATGGGTCCCCCCATCAATTCCACTCCTGGAACTACTGGTTTCATGATCACTCTATTTTTAAACTCCAGCAACCAGACCAAACAACCTATTTTAGAGCTGGGGAAATGGATGCTTAAAAAAGTCAAGAAATTAAGCCTACTACTACACAGTCTAGAAGCACCAGAATGGGGCACCAAACATGTCTGTTGGATTTAAGACTGCTCTTGAAAGAGAAAAAAAAAAAAAAAAAAAAAAAAAAATATATATATATATATATATATATATATATATATATATATGTTTTTGCAGTTAAAATTGAAATAGGAAAATATGCAGTGCACATATTATTCAAAAGCAGAGTTAAGAAACAGTCAAAGGAGTAGGACTTTGCAGCTGCCTCTGGGACTCTTTGTGGGAGGGGGCAGGTTGGGTGGGAATCCCTCCCTCAGGCTAAAAACCTTTTGGAACCATTGAATTATTTAAAACACAGTGGGCCTGTGCTCCTTTTGCAGAAAGTAAGCAATTAATTACAAAAAGTTGCATGTTCCCGAGGTGAGTTGTTCCACCTCCAAGTCCTCAGGACAGGCAGCCTGTGTTGCCAGGCCTGAGGGCCTCCACTTTCCTGTTTTAAGGGTCACAGGCTCCCCATCTCTGCTGCCTGAGCAGGTCCCCCAGGATGGATGCAGCAGTGTTCCTGCTGTCTGCAAGAGGCAACCAGGCTGGGGGAGAGAGGTCCAGGAAGGCTCTAGGCCTTCTGCTCTGTGTTGCCCTCCTCCAATGCCACCCCGCTGGGGTCCCTGCCGACAGAGGTTGGCACAGCTCCCTCACCAGGACATGCAGCTCTCAGCCTGGCCTGGGACCTTACTCCACAAGGGACTGACCGATGAGAGGGGGTCCCATCAACTTCAGGGAGACAGACCCCTACCCAGACACAAGACCCACTCACAGACATCTGTGCGGAAGTGAAGTCTGCGCCGAGCCTTGGGGGACAGAGGAGCATTAAAGCTGGCAGAGACTCAAGGAACAGATTTCCAAGTCCAGGGAATGGCATGCCATGCCGAGGGCTCTAAGCAGAGGAAGAGGCTTTTTGTCTGAGGAACGTGGTACAGTGTGACAGGGCAATGGGAGGAGGAGAGGATAGCCCGATGGCTGCTGGAGGAGGGCGGCAGACAGGAGAGGGAGAGGAGGGCAGAGGGAAGGGGGGAGGCAGGAGGGGGAGGCAGGGGGTAACACAGGCAGAGAGAGAGGGGGGAAGGGAGGAGGGAGGACTGACAGAGGGAGAAAGAAAGAAGGGAGAGGGAATGGGGAGGGAAGAGGGGAAGAGAGAGAGGAAGGGAGGAGAAGGGAGAGGAGGGAGGAAGGTGGAGCTGGCCCAGGAGCCTGAGAGACCTCATCTTCGAAGAATGAGATTGCAGTTCTGAGCTCTTTGCCTTCCTGGGGAGAGGAACTCCCAGGCCTGGAGGCCCCAGCATGGCACAGGCCCCGTGAGAGCTACACAGCCACGCAAGCCCCACAGAAAGGTTAACGAGGTCCCGCTGTCCCTGCTAGGTCACTCTACACAGTTACAACAACGTACCAGTCAAACCAATTAGCTGCAAAATGTTGTAGGGACTGCGTTTCATTGGATTCCGCTCAACTTGGAATTGGTTAAATAATGTCTGCTAAGGAAAATAAAAGGGCTGCGCAGGGGCGGGGCCCTGGGGGACTCCATGGCAGCTGTGCAAAGGGGCTGGTGTGTGTCTGCTGGACCTTCTGCCCAGGAGAGGGCCGGCATCCTCCATCCCCTTAGGCTCCCTGGGTCTCAGTGCTTCCAGATCCTTATGGTCCCCTGGGGACCTTTGGGAGCTCATGGCGTGATGTCTGGGGCCCAGGTGTCTGGGCGGGGTGGGTGTCCCCTGGCATTCCTGTTGACAGCTGGGGCTTAGAGCTGATGCTCTGTTCCAGACTCTCAAGACCAAGTGCCTCCCGGAGCATGTTGCCCCATGCCCGGGGGTGTTTAGCACTATCCAAAGAAATTTTATTGGTCCCAATTGGAGGGAGGCAGCGCCTGACATGTGTTGGTGGAGGCTGGAGATGCTGCTCAACGTTCCACCACTTCAGGACAGTCCCCACCACAGAGGATGAGCCATGTCTGGGGAGGAGATGAGAAATTCTGTTCTCATTGAATCCACCCATCTGACAGATGAGGAAGCTGGGGTCCAGGCTGGCCAGTGAGTGTGTGTGGAATTGCACAGGGCATATATGGAGGAACCAGTAAACAGGGCTGCTGGGCTTCCGTCCTTGGACAGTGTTTCTGGCACTGTCCACGTAGAGACCTTCCTGTCAGATTCTCAGGACCAAGGCCAAGTGACTTTTGGGAGTCACATCCTGCCCAGGCCATAGTCTGTTCAGTTATCTGAACAACTAAAAAAATGTGTAACTTAGAAATTGCTCATCTTCCCCAGCATTTCCACAAAATGGCTCCAGAGACAGAGTTCCATCTTGGTGTCACTGGGACTGTGGACATGAGGCAATCTTGATACCATGATGCTGGTCTGGGATTTCCAGGGCCTGCTCTCTAGCCATCCATCCATTCATCCATCCATCCACCCATCCATCCATCCATCCATCCATCCATCCATCCATCCACCCATCCATCCATCCATCCATTCACCCATCCATCCACCCATCCATCCATCCACCCATCCATTCACCCATCCACCCATCCATCCATCCATCCATCCATCCATCCATCCATCCATCCACCCATCCATCCCATGGCAGTAATCTGAGCCAACTTCAGGGCCGGGGACCAGGATAATTGCAGACTTGGGGAAGCCACACTGAGGACTGAGGCAGCCCGGCATCTGGGGCTGAGATGGTACCTGATTAGCTAAATTGCCAGCACCTGCTTGCTTTTATTGCAAATGTAAACACGGTCATGCAGACTATTGCCAGCGTGCCTAATGCTTTCTGTGCTCGCCACATGTGCAAGGTCCTGGGGCGGGTGAGGGAAGGGAGGCTGAGGTCTCAGCAAAATGGGAAAGCAAAGGGATTTGGGTGGAAAGACATGGGATTAGGCACAGGAGGGAGATTCACACTTTGTGGGGACACCCCTTCGGGGGGTACTGCAAGTGAGGCCTTTATACCCTCATGCAAAGCCATTGGATGCTCCAGGCCTTCCCCAAAATACTGTCCCTGTTCTTACTGAGTCAGAAATGTTAGGTACTGCTCCCCAAGTGATTCGGCCAGAAAGTGGACAATATGGGCTTGGTACCCAGGTTTTTCTGCCTCCAAAGTCCCTAAACTCAAGATCAGAGCCCTGGAGTTGCCATGGTGATTTATCTTACTTTGCATCCACAGTGTTGAGCAAATAACCTATGATTGCACATGAGTTTGGGCAAAAAGAACATAATTTCTTGTTCCCACCAACAATTTGTCAGGTGACCAAAGGTTCTCCGGGAGTTTCCTCTTTCTGTGCCTCAATTCCTAGATCTATAAAGTCCTCATCTGGTTTTCCTCTTCTGCTCTTTGAACCTCAAGAAAAAGAGGCCGGAGCAGGGGAGCATGACCCTCCAGCATGTTTGAGGTCAAGTCCACTGCCAGCTGGAATCACCATTCGGATTCTTAGACACTTGGTCCGAGATCAAACTGCCGGGCGGTGGCCCCGCCAAGGAGGAGTCCAAGGCCCCACGGTCTTGCTGTACACAGACGACACGTACCTCAGCCACCATCCAGCAAACAGCCAACAAGACAAATGGTGGAGGAAATCATTTCAAATTAACTCCATCTCCAATATAGGGGCTTTTATTAAGATAAACTGTTTGGAGGATGTTTACTGGAGAGAGCCCTGGCGGGAAGGTCAGAGGGAAAGTCGGCTAGCCGGCGGACTGTACGATTGTCATTTGAAAGCTGGAGGCACGTCTCCCAGATTCAAATGTGCATCGCTCCCACTCAGTGACAGATGCTTCAAGCCTGTGACATGCTTTGTCAGAATTTCATTTGTCCGAGCGGCTCCAGCCTCGTTCGTGGCAGATGCCAACAACAGAGGAGAGCTTGCATTTCAATTCCCGGCTGCAGTCCTGGGAAATGGAGTGGGGATGTTTCTCCATCACTGTGCTTTACCTTGAAGGGAAAAATCCGAATGCGCCCTGAAGCTTGGGAGAAGGACATGTTTTCACTCATGCACTCTCCTGTTCAGTTATTTGCCACCTTGCTTACTAATTAACGGACTTACTAATGAACCGCAGTCTTTCAGCCATTCCTGTATCACTGTGGATGTGGAACTCCAATCTTCACTTCACGGATGTCCTTAAGTATGCAGGAAACTTGTGTTGTGTACCTGGGAAATGGGAACGGTGGCTGTGTGGGCTCACACCAGGGAGGAACGCTTTGCATACTAGGTGGCAGGGGCCCTGACCTCCGGACAGGCTGGTGCAGGGGGAGGCCGTGGAGATGCAGCTACTTTCCATCCTGCAAAGCAAGATCTCTGCTTACAGTCACACAGAGAGTGTGTGAAGGCGGCGGGGTCGAGCTGGGGGCCATGGTTGCTATTCTCTCCTACCTTAGTGCTAAGCCTTATTGCTTGCACGTGTACCCAGTGACCTGCCCTGGGCGGTTGGCCTCATAGCCACATGGTGTCTGGTGACCACACAGGCAACCTCAGATTCTGAGCTCTTCATGGAGCCAGCACAGGCCATGCATGGTGCTCACTGCCATCTCTTGCAACGAACACCTCCAGGACTCGCCTGGAGACAACTGACTCTCCCTCTGACCGTACCTCTCCCAGCAGCTTGCCCCTCTGCACCATGGGCTCTTACATGTCTCTGAGCTGGCTTTGGACTTTGAAAGTATTTGACATTTAAAATAGACAAGATGATGTTCCTCTAACTCAAGGAGCCCCTTTTGGGGGCGCTTTGACTGCACAGTTGATGGTGATCAGAGTTTAGAACACCCTTTCTCCGAAATTCGTATGACCAGAGACTTTCTCTGTGGGACTCTGGGTCCCTGGGGGCACCCATTCCACCCTGAGGGATTCTTAGCACTCAGAGATTCCCTCTGGCGTCTCTTTTCCTGTCCTCAAAGACCCTGGCAACTCGCAAAGACACTTCCTTTGGAGGTTCATGAAGATGACAAATGCCTGGTTTTCCAGTTCTAAATTCCTTTTCTGGGTCCAGGAGACTCGTTAAGCTGGACAGTTTCTCCTTTGCTGTGGAGGATATGTCAGTAAGGGGTCTCGGGACAGGACAGTGTGATCACTGGTGTGTCAGGGTGGGCTGCAGCCCACAGAAACACGGCACGTTGGGAGGATAGAGGGGTGGGTGGGCAGAGGGTGGGGGACCCTACTTGGTAAGGGGACGGTGGGTTTCCTTGGGTTTCCCGTGGCTTCCGCAGTCCCTGAGTACAAGTCAGAGAAGGCAGAGGGGTGTTCATAGAGTGGCCGGACAATGGTGAAGACGTAGCCAATGGCCAAGGAGAGCACAGAACATTCCAAAGTATGGATTTAGGGGGCTGGGAAGCGGGACAGGGAAATCAAGTTAGATTCTAAGCGTTCACAGCCCAAGTGGGTCTCCGAGGCCCCCAGGAGAGGTTGTGGGATCCAGATGTGGACGGGAAGGCAGAGGGGGGCGGGGGAAGGTCTGTTCACAATTAGCCTTGATTTTGTGTGATGACATTCAAATTGTGGGCAAACATGAAAGCGGAGTTGTGAGGACACGTCCGTCCGAGCGGCCGAGGACTAATCCGACGTGAAGGACGCCGGCCACGGGCTGGCACCACATGGAAGCAGTTTGGGCGGGTTTGATGTCCTGCCAGCTGAGGCCCTGCGGCCCTCCGCCCCCTGCCCACCCCCTCATGGCTGGCTGGTCGGCTCGGGCAGGAGAGGTGAAACCTCAAACAGCCAGAAAGCAGGGGCTGTGTCCGGCTGAGCTGCCCTGGGCCTGGCCAGCACAAACACCAACCTGCACTGGGCCCTGCCTGTGCCCTGCAGAGCGCCCTGTGGCCTGGCTGCAGTCATGGTGCGAGCTCCTAGGATGGGAACAGCGTCTGTGAGCTATTTGCAATATTTCTAGGATTACAAAGTCCAGGATAACTCACATGCCGGGAGATTGGCAGGCCGTGGCTTTTAGCAGGGCTGTGGCCGGGACTTTTAGGGATGAGGAAATCAGGGGCCAGGAGACCATTTGAGAGTTTCAGGATCACCAGGCGAGGATTC